TGGGCCTATTTTGTGCTCACTAGAAGAAAGGAACGAGTTTTTAACTTTCAAATGGATGGAACAGAAAAAAAAAAAAAGAGGAATATTTTGTGACACATGAAAACTATATGAACTTCAAATCTTAGTAAAATGCAAATAAAGTTTTATTGGCACACTGCTATATTCATTCACCTACACCTTTATGGCTGATTTAGACGTCAGTGGTGTTGAATGGTTGCCACAGAGACTGTGTAATAGACAAGTACCTATAAAATAACCTTCATTTTGCTTATTGGCCCACAGAGCCTACCTATAAACCTTGCTAACCCCTGAATTGTGGGACACATTTAGCATTTCAGTTGAGAGGCCCTCACTGAAACATGATGGTGGGGTGGAGAAAGAGGTGTGGATTTGGGAACTCTTAAGTAACAGTATTAGAGAAGTCTCAATGAGGAAATCGAAAAACATGGTCATTTAAGAAAGACAGTCCCCCGATTCCCAGGTTGAGCAACGGTGTGAGTAATAGCGCTAGACAGCCCAGAACACCAAGAGGAAGCGGGCAACTGGGAGGCTGAGCAGTATAGGGGTGGGGAGGGAGAGTGAGACTAGTTTCAGGCCTATTTTGTGTCCTGCCTGTTATGTGTCAGCAAAGATGCAAGGGAAAAAGACACCACCTCAAACTCTTTGGAGCCTGAGTCTCCCAAGTCTCCAAAATGACTTTTGTGCCAGAGAGGTGGCACCTGTGTGAATTTCCAGCTGGCTCAGCATAGGTTTGCACCATCAGAGACAGGCTCTAAAATAAGAAACTAGGCCCTCCCTGGTGGCGCAGCGGGTTAAAGCACAGCACTAAGAAGCTAAAGCCGCTTCCGCATGAGTTCGATCCCAGGCCCGGAGGTGACCACATGGCGCGGCAGACCTCTCCTGACCCGCCCGCTGCTCCCTCAGCAGTGGACTTTGTCGATCTGCCTGTTCTGCTCCCCACTCTGTCTCTGGTGAAGCCTCTCACCCTCTGCATCTCTGGCCTGTACCCCAGTTCTGTATGAATAAATAAATAAATATTAAAAAAAAAATAAGAAAGCAAAGATTCCCAAAGCCAGTGGTAGACATGGAGAGACCCAGTAGTTTCCTTGGCAAGTCTCCCCCAGTGGCATGCTGGAGAAGTAGGGGCTGTCCCTGCAGGTTTACAACAGAAGCTGCATGAGATAATTCTTCCAGGGGTCCTTGGGTTCCTGCTGAGGTGGCTGGGGCCATCTACCCCACCATTTCTCCCTTTCTTCCCAGCCACCTTTTCTAGGGAGCCGCCCCCACGAGTTTCCAGGCGCGGGGCTCCTTGGCAGGGCCATTCCCTTGATGGCCTCCAGATGGCGCTGGAACGATACGGTGGGAGAGGATGCAGGCGTGTGAGCCTGTGGGGAGAGAGGAGCCTAGGTTTCTAACTTGTTTCAGGCTAGCAGCGGGAGGAGGTGGCATTCACAAAGCCACTTCATTCTTTCCCTACTTCCTGCTTAGACACGAATCAGCCCTTGTGTTTGGAGCCAAGAAGCACTCCCTCAGGGCAGAGGAGGTGCAGTGTTTGGGGTGGACCGATGCCCTGTCCAGCCATCCTGTCTTGGTGGCTCAAGTCATTTTTTTCATCTTCTGGCAGCTGAATGTACAGGATTCTTGCTTCAGAGGCTTGCAGTGCTCAGTGCCCGTCACTGGGAAGTGTTCCTGGCCACACGTGCCCACCCAGGCTGGCTCCCACACACTCTTCTCCAAGCTGCACGGCTTGTCCCTGGGCTGGAGGCTGGAGGTGGAGGGGAAGGTGCAGGTTTGAAACTAGACTTGGTTTCTGGCCTCTATCAGTGAGGGGCTCCTCCTGGGGTCACCCACTCACAGAGCTTTGGGGTGATTTCCCTACAATGTCTCCTCCTCTGATTGCTCCCTCTTTCAGAGATGAGAACTTTGGAAATAAGAGGCACCTCTGAGGTTATGCAGTGAGATGGTGTGGGCAGAACTTGTGCCTGGAACATGAGGCCAGTGTGAACTGTGAGCCCCATTACCCATCTTGGACCCGCCATTCCTACCTGCTAGGGGAGTCCAGGCCTGGCTGATTCCAGAGCTCCTCTCCCTCTATACTCTTCGGCTTCCTCGGCCCCCCTCTCTCCCAGAATCTTGGTTCCAGTGTCTTCCACATAGAGCATTTAGCCCTAAAGCGGCTCAGGGATGGTGGGAGAAGTGACAAGGTTTTCTCAGAGACCTGAGCCCAAGTCCTGGGAAGCCACGCTGGCGGAGGGCTTTGCTTCTGCCCGGGAGGCCTTCTCCACACCGTGGGCCCTGCCTGCCCCCGGCCAGTTCATCCATCCTCCTCTCAACAGGTCGTCCTGCCCGCAGCACTGGAAACTTCCTTTTCAAAGGCTTCTGGGAGTCTCAACAGCTGTGTGTGAGGTTTATTTATTTATGCACACAGAACTGGGGTACAGGCCAGAGGTGCAGGAGCGATGCGAGGATTCAACAGAGGGGGGAGCAGAACAGGCAGATGGACAAAGTACACTGCTGAGGGGGGCAGCGGGAGACAGGAGGGGTCTGCTGGGCCCTGTGGTCACTTCCTGGCTGGGGATTGAACTCGTGCTGAAGTGGTAGCTGTGGATAGCGCTACTTTAACCTTTTGCACACCAGGGAGGGGCCGGGGGGTGAAGCCCGGGTAAATTTCTACCCCCTCTTTCTCAAGGCTCCCCCAGTCAGGACCGGGTTTCTTAGCCAGCAGTGCTCAGACTTTCACTTGATCAGAATCACCTGGATGACTCATTGAGCCAAATGGCCAGCTCTTCCCTCAGAGCTTCCAATTCAGTAAAACCAGAGGGACCCCAAAAACTTGTGTTTCTAGCAAGTTCCTGGGTGATACTGACACTGTTTGCCAGTAATGGGCACCAGAGAATGATTCATTAGGTCTGGGTTGACCAAATCCTGAATGTTCTAAACAAAGATTTGGCCTTTGCTTGCCTCCTGCAAGATGACCCCAAAGCCGGGGAATATCTACCTGATCAGAGTGTCTTTGCTTACTTCCGGGCCTTGGGCCACCCCAGATAGTCTGTGCTAACAGTGTGACTTATGGGGCCTCCCTGGCAGCCTAGGGGTTAAGTCTCAGTGCTATCACTGCTATGGATTTAGTTCAATTCCCTGCCAGGGAGTGACCCACATGGCACAGCTGACCTCTCCCGTCTCTCTGCTGCTCTCCTCAGCAGTATGTTTCAGAGGATCTGCCTGACCTGCTCCCCACTCTGTCTCTGGTGAGTCTTTTCACCTCCTGGATTGCATCCCAGTTCTTCTATGTAAAAATAAATAAATAAAATCGTAACATTGTGATTTCTGTGGGGGAACTTGGGCCACGAAGTATTGATGTGACTTCTGGCGGGGCTGGATACCGACTACCCATAAGGTCAACCATGCAGTGGTCAGCCTGGCCTTCATGAGTAACCTCCAGGAAAACTCCCGGACAGCAAGTTTGGGGTGAACCATCATTCACTAGCGTTGCCACATAGCACACATTGCTGGGAGAACGGGGGGCTGTTCCCTGACTCCATTGGAAAGGACACTTAGAAACGCTTGGTCTCTCCTGAACTCTGCTCTGTGGCCCACTGTCCTTTGCTGACTTCAGTTTTTATCCTTTTACTGTAATAAACTATAACCTTGAACATAGCAGCTTTGCTCAGTTCTGTGTATCCTAGAATCACTCAACCTAAGGGAGGCCTCGAGGACCCCCAAACAGAGCCACTTTTTGACAGTATCTTGGATGCCTTTGCTTTAGGCTTTGGGGCCTCCTCACCAGTGAAGTGACCTTAGGATCTGGCCTGAGGGTTGGTCACCTTTAAGGAGTGCTTTGGCCAGGACCCCAGGCTCCTTACCACCATAGACTGGGGTCAGAAGGCTGTGAACAGCACAGAAACCTGGGTGTTGCTTTGCGGGGTCACCCTGAGTTGTCTTCCTGAGTCACTGGATTGGAGCAGTTCTGTTTTGGGTGTGACAGGACCCTACCCCACCCCGGGACTGCCCCCCTCTGTACCTCGAGCAGTCCTGAGCAGCACCACTGGAGGAGAATGAGCTGAGTTGCGGGAGATGCCATCTGTCTTCCCACTTCCAGCCACCAGAGCTGCCCATTACAGCCCTACTCCCCTGAGCCAGGTCCCTAGGGTGCGGGAGCCCACAGGTTTCCAGCACGACACTGGATGCTGCTCCTCCTGAAGCCGCCCTCAGGGCAGCACCCACATTTCACGGTACTTGAACCTTCTCTGTCCCATCCTGTCGTGGCCGAAGACCAAGTCCTCAAGCCAGTACAGGGAGGAAGGCCCCTCGGTGCCCGCTGGTTATGTGGCTTTATTCACAGATTCAGCATCTGCTGAGGTTGAAAGGGAAGAACATTTGGGACTAGGCTGGGCCTGGGGTAGGGGCACTGGAAGACCATGCACGGATGGGAGGGGGAGCTCACAGAAGAGAACCTGCTGGCTGGGCCAGGTCTGTGCGGGGCAGGGCCAGAGCGGGCAGCATGCAGGGTGCCTGGCTAGCTCTGCATGGAGTGGAGCTACCCAGGTGTCGGCTGTGAGCCAGGGAGGGCTGGTGGAGAGCTCCTCTGGGACCGGAGTATAGGTGTGGGTGTGCAGCAGGCACTGGCCCTCCCTCGTGGGGTGAGGGCTTCCCTCCCACCAGTCAGGACACTGGTGCCTGGCCCGCGCTCTGGGGCTCGAGGTGTGACTGGCCAAGCTGATCCCACTGGGGTCATTGTCCTGCTGCTGCTTGGCCACTGGCCTTGGGAGCCACCCACATGGGGACGGTGGGCACATGTGTGGAGAGGCTCACCATCCTGGAGAGTACGCCGGCGTCCAGCAGAGTGGACAGTGCCTGTGAAGGGAAGAGCTCCCCACCCAGGGTGCTCCCTAGGACTCACACTTTTCTTGCACCCACCCTCCCACCCCACGTGGCCCCAAGGGATGCCATCTCCCACTGCCGCACAGGACAGCCTCTGAGCCAGGGGTGACTGTAGTGGTAAACTTTCCTTCTCTTGGCCTGCCCTGCTGGCTCTGGAGGGACTTCCTGCCTGAAGGCAAACAAGGACTCCAAAGCCCGATCCTCCTCCTGGCCTTGTTCCTGGTGAAGAGCCCGTTCCCATGCAGCAGGGAACAGAAAAACCAGTTTCCCGGCTTCTGCCCCCTGCCTGGAAAGAGCGAAGTTTGGAAAGCTGGCAGGGTGTCTCTGGCTGTCCAGGAAGGTGACCTAGGGGCCTGGGAAGCCTGGTGAGGCCTGCGTGGAGCCCTGGGGCTGAGGCCATAGGCCCTGCCCGCGCCTACCGGGCTTGCCCACCCAGGGCCTGGGGTGGAGGGACACAGGCGAGGGGCCATCAGCACTGGCGGGAGGGGGTGCGGTGCACAGAGCCCGGGCGCTTGGGAATCTTGCGCCAGCGTCGCTTGTCCCAGCGGCAGAGCAACAGCAGACGGAAGGTGTCCCGGAAGGCCTTGTTGCAGAGCGCATAGCACATGGGGTTGATGGTGCTGTTGACGTAGCACAGCCAGTAGCCCAGCTCCCACAGGGTCTCGGGGACGCAGTCCTTGCAGAAGGTGGACACCAGCACCATGATGTTGTACGGCGTCCAGGTGAGGATGAAGGCCAGCAGGATGGCGCTCAGGGTCCGAGCTGCCTTCTTCTCCTTGACCAGCGAGAAGGTCTTCCGCTTGGCCAGCTGCTCCTTCCTGCGGGGTTTCTGGCTCTTGCCTGCGCGCTCACGCCCTTTCCGGGTCGGCCTCTTGACTGTATTTGGGGAGCTCCTGGGAGGCTGCTTGGCGGGAGCCTGTGCCTCGGAGTCCACCATGGGCATCTTGATCACCACCTCGGAGCCCGGCTCCTCACCCTCGGAGGAAGTGAGGGACTCCATGGAGCCTTCATCCTCCTCTTCTTCCTCCTTCCAGCTGTAGGCCTGCAGCAGCCTGGGGGCCCGGCAGCAGCGACAGCAGCGCCCTGGGGGGGTGTCCGGGGAGCCCTCGGCCCCCGGCTGGGACCGTTCTGAGCTGCTGCTGCTGCCGCCCCCCTTCCCAGGAGTCTCGGAACCCTGCAGGGCGGCCAGCTCCCGGGCCCGGTTCTCTGTCTCGCGGTAGATGCGCCAGTAGAGGGTGCACATGACCGTGACCGGGAGGTAGAAGGCGGCCATGGCTGTGCCAAAGGTGATGATGGGCTGGGAGAGGAACTGGATGTAGCACTTCCCTGCCCCCACCGTCCGCTCCCCCACCAGGTACTGCCAGAAAAGGATGGCCGGGGCCCAGAGCACGAAGGAAACCAGCCAGGCCAGGCCGATCATCAGGGCCGCCCGGCGGGGTGTGCGCTTGGCCCGGTAGGTCAAGGGCCGGGTCACGGAGAAGTAGCGGTCAAAACTGATGAGCAGCAAGTTCATGACAGAGGCGTTGCTGGCCACGTAGTCCAGGGCCAGCCAGAGGTCGCAAGCCAGTGTGCCCAGGGCCCAGCGGCCCATAAGCAGGTACGTTGTATAGAGGTTCATGGAGAAGGTGCCAATGATGAGGTCGGCACAGGCCAGGCTCAGCAGGAAGTAGTTGTTGACCGTCTTGAGCTCTGTGTTGACCTTGAAGGAGATGAGCACCAGCAGGTTGCCCGTCACGGTGGCCAGCGACAGGAGGCCCGTGGTGATCCCGATGAAAGCCAGCTGCCAGGGACCCCTTCCTGGGGCCAGGACCGTGATGTTGGGGCTGACGGCGGGTGGCGCCGAGGTATTCATGGTGGCTGGGGGTCCTGGGGGCAGCCCCTTCCGCTAGTCACACTTTCGGGCTTCCTCAGGGGGAGGTCATCACCTGAAAGGAGAGAGGACACGGGCTTGGGGTGGGCTGCTGGACACCTGTGGTGGCCTGGGGTGGGCAGTGTGGGCACAGGGCTCTCAGGGCCTCTGTAGAGAACATGACCTCCTCTACCGGTGACAGTCATTTCAAAGGCATTCCCCAGCCCTAAAAGAATTTGGTCAGCGGCACAGGGATCGGGGTGCTTTGGAATCTCGGGCTCAGTCCTCACTCCTGCTTCACCACTCAGTCTGGAGCCTCAATTTTCTCGTTGGGAAATTGCTGCTACTTCTTGCTTAGGTCAGGAGGCAGGAGCTGGAGACTCGCTTGCTAGGCAGCACTGCCAAGTTTTCAAAGCATTTCGGTCAATTTCATTAGTGCTCTCATTTACTGAGGAGTTACTACACACCAGCCACAGCACTAAGCGCTTCATCGAATTAGCTTATTTAACTGTGGGGAGTCTCCAGGATGGTCTCCTAGGCTCCCACTCACTGGGAGGCTGTTGTCCTGAGACACAAGACCTGGCCACGGTGACACGGGTCCGGGCGACAGCCCCTCTCTCTTTCTCCTTCTGGCATGCGGAGCTGCACGGGGACTCTGCCATCAAACAAGACAGAGGAGGCTGCACTGGAGCGCGGGGGAGAGATGCCTGCACCTGTCCTGTGTGTGTGTGCCTGTGCCTGTGTGGGAGACAGGAGAGGGCTGTGTCTGCGGTCGGACCAGACCCCCCCTAAAGGAGCAGGACAAGTAGTGCCGGGCTTGGGCGCTGGCCGGGTGGTAAGAAGGTCTGGAGGAAAAACTGGCAGCAGGGGAGGGCCTTGGCTCCCAGATAAGTGGGGGTCTGGCCCCAGATGGGGCGTAGGAGGCCTCCTCCATCTTCCCACTCTGTTCCTAGGCCCCAGCTGAATGGGGGGCTGCAAGGGGAACGGGGAGGTCCCCCAGGCTTTTCTGGAAGCTGGAGTTCATCCCAGACATGGAAGGAGGGTAAAGAGGAAGGCTCAGCACCCAGCTGGCTGGGTAGGAGGCCCAGAACCCAGGCGCGGCCTGGTTGAAGGGTGGGGTCCGGGCCAGCTCAGCCACGGCCCGTGCGCTCTGTTTTGGTGGGTCCCTTGCTGTGGGCAGAACAGTCCATCTCTTCCTACCTGTAGCTGGGAAGATTCAAGGGAGAGGGCTTGGGTCAGGACCCACCAAGGCCTAGTTCCTGGGGGACCTGCCTGTGACAGGGAGGCGAGAGGGGTTGCTGTGTGACAGGTGGCCTGGGGGCTTTTGGCTGGGAGTGTGAATCGGGGCGCAGAGCGCGTGTGGCTGAGGACCTCTGTACTGCTCACGTGGGGCAGGGACTCTCAGGCGCCCGTAGCCTGAGGACGATGACTATGAGTGCAGCTGTGTGTCTGCGACTGTGCATCCTGGTTGGAACCCGACTCGAGCCAGGCTGGTGCATCTGAATTCAGGTTACACCGTTTTGCCCGGGGGTGAGCTCTGCTAGGTGATGGAAGGACCCTGTGCCTGAGGTCCATACTAGTCGATAGCTCACAGACCCAGGCATGCTGTGAGGCCGAATCACATCACAGGGTGCGCAGTGCCCAAGGACAGCCCCCCACACAGCGAGCATCGGGGGCCTCTGAACATGGGACGTGCAGCGTGAGTGCTCCCTCCTGCCTAGGGGTGTCTACTTCTTTGATTAAACAGTTCTGGGCCCTCCCTGGTGACACAACGGGTTGAAGCTCAGCACTGCCAGCTAGCTGCAGCCTCTCAGCGTGTTCCATTCCCGGCCCCTGGAGGTGATCCATGTAGTTCGGCAGACCTCTCCTGTCTCACCTGCTGTACCATTCCAGCAGTATACTTCATTGATTGGCGTGTTCTGCTCCCCACTCTGTCTCTGGTGAATCTTCTCACTGCCCCTGCACTTCTGGCCTGTACCCCAATTCTGTATGCATAAATAAATATACCTTAAAACATTTTTTTTTCTGAGACAATGACAATACCAACTAACAATAATACTGATGCTGTTTTTTGGGGCTCCCCTAGTGCTAGCTGCTGCTCAAAGTGTTGGTGATTTTTGTTTTCAAAGATGTATTTATTTACTTACTTATTTATTTATTCATACAGAACTGGGGTACAGGCCAGAGTTGCGGAGGGTGAGAGGATTCACCAGAGACAGAGTGGGGAGCAGCACAGGCAGATCAACAAAGTACACCGCTGAGGGGAGCAGTGGGGGCGTCAGAAGAGGTCTGCAGCGCCATGTGGATTACCTCGGGGGCTGGGGATCAAGCTTGCACTGAAGTGGCTGCCCCTAACTTGCAGTGCTGTGTCTTAACCCGTTGTGCCACCAGGGAGGGCCATGCTGGTGTTTCTTATCTCGTCTAAGCAGGGAACCTAGGATCTAGGGGTGTACTTCCCATTTGCCAATGAAGAAACCGAGGCTGAGAAGTAAGAGACTGCACACGGTGTCACAAGGAAGGTAGGAACCAGGCCTCGATCCCAGGCAGATTGTTCCGAGACTTGACTGGCAACACTGATGTGTGAGCCTGGAGGTTCAGGGGTCGAAGTTTGCCAATTTGAGTTTTACGAATGTACATTCAATATCATTTATCTTGCTTACTGAGTTTTGCTGTATCCTCCTCCCTTAACTGATACCAGGCAGTCAGGGCTGGAGGCTGGGCTTATGCTTTGCCCGCAGGGTAAACATTTATGCATATGTTCTTGGTGGACAGGCTACCCCATAAAATTCTTGCTCCTTTGAGCTGAACTCAGCACAGCTTGATTGCCCCTGGCACAAACGGAGCAACTGAGGCCCAGAGAAAATGTCTCCAGGCTCTGGAATGAAGCGCTCCCCTTCCCCAGCCCCGGGTGCCTGGAGTAGCCCTGCAGCCCTCTGGCTCTCCGGGTCTGGGCAGGGCCCTGTAAAGTCTGCATCAAATCCTCCAACTGTCTCGGCTGCCTGGAAGGGATTGCCCGGGGCTGCAGCTCCCTCGCCAGCTAGGCCACTCACTGTTGCCCTGGCCCTGACATCCTAGCAGGAGACAGCTCAGACTAGGCGAGTAAGGCACTTGCCTCGGGTGCAAAATCGCAGGCGCCCCAAAACCCAGTCATCAAGAAAAAAATGAATATTTGAATACAATACTTAAACAAATGGAGATGGATACAAAAAAATCCATCATGAACACAATTTTCAGCAGAGACAGGATCCACCCTGCACTTGCACAAACAGCCTCTCCCTGGGCCTCCCCCTCAACCTGGCCCTGTCTTGAAAGAAACTTTACTTACAAAAACAGACAGCCTGCCTGTGGGTGCTTGGCTATTTGATTTTTTGAATATCATATTACATTATTATTTATCTTGATTAGTGAGTTGCTTTGCTGCTCCCTCCCCACCAACCCCACTTTGCTTAGTCTAATTCCAGCCTTGGGGACCACAGCCTTGGGTCTGAATCTCCGAACTGTCCCTCGCTAGCTGTGAGATCATCAGCAATTTCCTTCTTTCCTTCTCTTGCTATCCCAGGTCCCCCAGCCCGTGGGGATTAGAGTTCCACAGCCTGGCGCTGACAGACACTCCGTTAAAGGGAGTGGTACTCGCTCCAATTCCTCATCCTGGCCCCAGCCCAGCCACCTCTCACCATGCCCTTCCCCGCCAGACTCTGGACACTGCTCTGCTCTGGTCCCGTGTGTGCACGTATACACCGGAGGTGGTGGACCAGCCTGGGAGATTGTACAGAATCCTGAACTTACACCTTAAGAACAGGATGGACCAGTCCCAGAGATGAGGCTGACGGCTTAGGGCTTCCCTTCTGGACAGGGAGTGACAAGAGCTCAAGGTGGGAACAGGGTAACCTCTGCCCATGTCAAGCTTTTGTGGGAAGCCAGCTGCAGTGCTCGTGAATGCAGACAAGGCCTTCACGTGGGGACCAGGGAGAAGTGCTGGTGCTCGAAGTAAGGGAGTGGGAAGACGCTCTCTTTATGTCTAGCATCCGCTCTTACTTTATCAACTACATTGACAGGCGGCTCCCTGGTGGTGCAGGGGTTAAATTCTTAGTTATCAAGTACCACCAGCTGTGGCCTGGGTTTGATCCCTGTCAGGGAGCTGACCCACAAGGCTCAGCAGACCTCTCCTGTCTCCCTGATGCTCCCCTCAGCAGTGGATTTCAGTAGACACACCTGTTCTGCTCCCCACTCTGTCTCTGGGGAATCCTCTCAACCCCTGCACCTCTGGCCTGCACCCCTGCTCTAGTATGCATAAATAAATAAAAATAAATCTTTTAAAAACGTTGCTGAAATAGCCACATTGACAGTTACTGTGATTCCTGCATGTTGGACACTTGATATAAGGTATTATATCCCTTAATCCCTAAGGTACCCTAGCAGGGGTTTCTTCTTTTTGTTTTGTAGATGAAGACTAAGGGTTAGGGGCTAAGTGTCCTGCAGAGAGTGGAGAGGGGGGTGAGAATGTGGGCTCAGAAGCCACTCTGCCCCGCCTAGGGTTTAGGGCTCCCGTCTGGGTTAACAGTGGAGAGGGGGAAGAGAGGTCTGGGGAAGTGGCTCCTGCCAGCCCTGATCTTCTGAGCCCTGGTGTTAGTACAGCAGCTGATGGTGCTCTGGTCCTCCTCAGTCAGGGGTCCTCCCTTAAACCTCTCTTGGACAGTGATTTGCTCTGGCCCTGCTGTGTGACCTTGGACAAGTCTCCTTAACCCTTGATAAGGTCAACCCTATGTCTGCTTAAGACTTGGCTTTCTGGGAGTGATCCTCTGGGGAGGGGTTGGATGAGTTCCCGGATGAGAGTCGGGGTGCAGGGGTTCTAGAATGGTTCCTCAATTTCTATAAAGGAGGGGCTTTGTGTCAGCTATCTGGTTGCAAAGGGCTTGAAGTTGTGTTTGCATTTGCATATTCTGTGAAAACATCCATGGGGTTGGGGGAGTTGGTTGACAGAGGTTGTAGTGGGTGAGGGGGAGACCCCCCAGGCTGTCTTCTGTCCTGCCTCTGCCTGGCTTCCAGCCCTGTGCCTGTTCTTGTCTCACTCTGTGGCCTTGGGCAATCAATCACTGTCCTAACCTGGTAGCCCTGGGGTAGAGCTGCTTGCCTGCGAGGTGTGCACACTGCCAGGCTTGAACAGACAAAAGGTAGGGGCAAGTCTACGCCCTGTGGGCTGGGTTGGGGCTCACCCCTGAAGCTGCTGTGTCTGGGTAGGGAAGTGGAGAGGTGCTTCCGGCCCAGGACTGGGGCCCCCTGGTGAAGGTTCTGGGGCCTTGAAATAATATTATTCCACCTTTAGCATATGCGCTGTGAAGCGAGAACTAAATAGTACTAACACTATCATGAAGACTGATATTTACTGCCTGCTCATCATACACCAGACATGGTTCTAGTCATTACATACTTGATATAATTGACCTATGAAATAGCTTCTATTGTCCCCAGTTTGCAAAGGGCAACTGTGAGGCATGGTGACCTCGTGGGCTTCCCAGCCCCTCGGAACAGGCGGTCCGCCAGCCTCCTGACTCCCTATTCTCAACTCTTTTGCAGGGAAGGGTCTTTACGGCCTCCTTGCCCACCTCAATAAGCTTGGCCAACCCAGGTTTGAAACAGTCGACAGCGAGCAGTCAGCGCTGCTGCTGACTCTGAATCTGGCCTGTGTGTGATGGTGTCTGTTGTGTGTCTGGGTGATGAAAGATGGCAGCGCAGCAGCCAGGGGAGAGCGCTGTCACTGTGGGAGCGGAGGGTAGGACGGGCCGCCTCATTCACTGCTTTGTTCCGGGGCTCAGCACACGCTAGTTGCTCAAGAAATGAAATATGTGAATATGCGCCTGGGGGCTCTCTGCTTGTTCCTCAGACTGAGGGGCACAGGATAAGTGTGTGTGTGTGTGTGTGTGTGTGTGTGTGGTGGCTCCAGAGGAGGGTCCTGCTGCTCCCTCCAGTGCCTGTATCTCCTCCTCAGCCAGGGTCCTATTCCCCAGTGAGGTCTGACTTGAGAGCCCAGGAGACACACACGAGCTTGCATATGCAAAATGGCCAAGGACATGCTGCATGCCGCAAGGGAGCAGAGGGCCTCAACAGGACAGGCACAGGCATGGGGTGTGGGGGAGGAAAAGTCAGCCTGGGCGCAAGGAGTTAAGGGATGAGGTCAGAGCCTCCAGCAGGCAGGCCAGACTGGTGACCGCCAGCATGCCCTGGACCAATCCCGGGGTTTGGCTGTGAGGGGGAGGGGGCCAGGAGAGAGCCGAAGCCAGAGGCGGGGAGAGATGGCTGGGAGAGGATTGCTGAACATTTGGGCTTGGAGAACCTTCCCACTAGCCAGGAGTGGAGAAGAAGACAGAGAGTGAGGGGCGCTGGGGGAGTGGTTCAGGAGGACTGGAGCCATGTTGTGGTTTTGGGCCTGGGACTGGCCACCCTGGCCCAAGTGAACAGGGAGGGATATTGGGGAATAGCAGGTGGGGCCCTGGGTGGTGGGGTCAGGCACCGGGGAGGATGTTGCTGGGCCCTTAATCCAGAAGCCAGCTGGATCTGAGCTCCTCTCCCACCCAGGGGCAACTTCTCTTAAGGAAGCTCTTGGCCCACAAAAGGTGCAAACTTCCACCCCTGGTGCCCGGTCTTGGGATGAGAGGGTAAGCAGGATTTGTTTCCTTTTTGGGCTCAGCAGTCACCACTGGGAGCACCAACCAGCTCTGGCAAGGGCAGCGGCCATCAGTTAAATGCTCATAAGCGCTTTCTGAGCCGGAAGAGGAGGGTGAGCCCTAAAGCCACCACCAAGCACAGCAAGTGTAGAGGGAGCCTCTTCAGGGCCCGACTTGAGCAGGACTGTGTGCTGCGGTGCAAAGGAGTCTGACAGGTGGTGGGCAGGGCCCCAGCCTCACTCTGCCAGGTGGTGCCAGAAGCTGCAGCTCCTCATCCTCCCCTCAGCATGCCCCTGCTCTTACCTCCTAGCTTCCCCTCCCCATTTCCTTTCTTCTCTCTCCTCCCTCCCCCACCCTCCTAGGCATCACCATGGCACCGCAGCAGAACAGAAACCCAGTGTGATACTCACCCACCTCGTCCGCCCGCCAGGAGCCCAAGCTCTGCTTTAGAGCTCGCTGCTACCCACCCCAGGGAGGTGGGGGTGCAGCACTGCACAGAGGGAGAAGAAGGGGTCCAAGCCCCCCCTGGATCGTGAAACACTCCTTCCAGGGCCACGAGCACGTTCGTCCCCCCTTCTCAGCCTCAGTTCCTTGTAAGGTGTGATGTGCCCTCTGCTCCACTCACATGTACATCTCTGAGCAGAGGACCTCTGGCCTCTGCCTCCTGGGCCCCGAGGGATCTACTTGTCAGCCCAGGGCCGCTGCCCGTGCCTCCCCTGCCTTGTCTGTCTCAGCAGCGCTTGCCCAGTGGCTGAGGTCAGGGGACAGAGAACCAATTTTAAGCCGACAGCTCAGTGGGCAGCTGATTAGCAGGGACAGGCGACCATGACTACAGGAGACAGTCTGACTCTTTCTGGTCGCCCAGAGGCCGGGTCAGTCTGGGTGGAGCTGCCGAAAGGCTTTGTGACAAGGGCGACCCCTCTCCACTGACCCTATTACGCTTAAGCAGCACTCATCTGCGCAATCCAGCGAAAGCTGACAGCTCCCTTGGCTGCCAGGCCAGGAGCTGGCAATTCTGCAGGAACCAGCGCGCCTGCCCCCAGCCTGTATCCAGGCATTACCTGACCCTAGAACGGAGACCCACCCTGCACGCAGGATCCCGAGAAACTGCAGCTCTAAGGAGAGCCCCCTGGGCCTTGTGCATGCACCCCGGTGTAGCTGTCCATGTGCCCGTTTGTCTCCGGAGAGCCTGGGGCTCTGGGTCTGGTCTCCTGCTGGCTTCTGACCCAACACCCACCTCGGCATCCAGCTTGTCCGCCTGGCCAGCAGCCTGGTTCAGTCCATCTTGGGGGGGCTGAAGGTAGATAGGGGTGGTGGGATTCAGGGTTTCCTGAGGGAGGAGAGGAGGAGGTTCTGGGACTGTCACCCCAACTGCGGCTGGTGGCGGGGGTCGACCTCTCTCAGGTTGTAGGTGGCCAGGGTGATCCCCCCCCCGGCCCCTTAGTCTTCCCATTCTGTCTCTGGCTTCTGGGGGGCTGCCTGCTAGTTGGAAGCCGAAGCCCTTCAGGGCTCCAGGTCCAGTTTCCTAAGGGGTCTCCAGCTCCTCTGCCAGCTGAACCCCAGAAAAACATCAGAAGTAGCCATTCAAAGCAGGGTTCCTAGAGCAGACTATGTCCACTGCCATCAAGCCCCCTTGGACTCTAGACCCCTCCTGGCCCCTCCTCTCGCTAGGGTCCAGCCCCATTTCTGTCTAGTCCTGGTCCCTGCCTTGCCCCCAGGATCTTGCTTCTCCTACTCCCACCTCAGTGGAGCCCCTTCAAGTCCTTCCAAATGTACTCACCATGGGGCTGGGGTGAGGTCTGCAGGGTCCTCTGTCCCACTGCTGCCCCGGGGGCCGGCGATGTCTCCAGGGACCCAAACACCTGGCTCCCGGGGGGAGCTGCGCCCTGTGCTGGCAGCCGGAGAGGCACAGCCGGTGATTGGCATGTCCCACCCCCTGGCACGCCAGCCTGGGGGGGGAGGGAGGAAGGGAGAGAGAGAGGGAGGGAGGAAAGGGAAGAAAGGAAGGGAGGGGGGACTGGAGGGAAGCTCAGGCAGCGTCTGGGGTTGGACTAGGTCCTGGCATGTGCCCCCCTCTTCTACCAGGGCACCCAAGTCGAGCCCAGAGAGGGAGGGGGCAGGACAGGAGGAAGACCAGCCCAGGAAGGCTAAAAGTCCAGCACGGGAGAGAAGGCGGATACCGGGAGACAAACACCCACACCCACTGCACACAGACTCCGCGGCACACACACCCTCACAAAGGCACACTCTGTTTCCCAGGCTCCTGCCCCCCCAGAGCCCCCTCCCCGCGCGCACCCTGCCCCATCCACGCCCGTGTTCACACGCCCGTTTCCCTCACACACACCCTGCCCCTCGCACATGCCCACGCGCCCACCCGCCCCCCCCCCCCACACCCTGCTCTTCCTCCCTGCTGCGAAGGAGCTGGATTCCTTCTGTTTGGAAATGACACATTGGGTCTCACGTGAGAGGCTCCAACTTGGAACAGACCCAGGGGGCCGGCGCACGACCTGGGGCTCAGCGCGCTTGCCCACATGTGGCTGCGGCCGTGGGCTAGGTCCCCACCTATGTGGCCTGGGGGCGAGGGCTCGCGGTGGGGGCGGAGTGCGGCCACCACGGGGCTGCCTGAGTGCTTGCACTGGTGTCCTGAGCGCAGGTCCCCTATCAGCCTGCGGAACGCGGCGTCACCCGGGGTCTGGAACCAGGACTCGTGCGCACGTGCGTCTGTGTTCGGTGTGTGTCTGAGTGTTGCCCAACTGTGGAACGTGCTGATTCTGACAAGTGAGGCAGCCTCTGTCTCCCTGCCTGCTCCACCCCCAGCTTCCACTTGGAAGACAGACAGACAGGCAGACAGACAGCTCTCCTCCCAGCTTGTCAAACTCTGTCTCCCCTGACTCCCACTCAGGACTCACAGGTGTGTACCTGGGAAGTGACGCACCTGCCCTTCCTCCCCATCTCCTGGCCCGTTGCTTGGCCGGCACCCCTCCCCCACAGGCCCGTTTGGATTTTTGTGTTGGGTTTCCTCAGAGATAGAACCCCAGGGGGGGACCTTTGCCATGGAGATCTGGGTCTTACACCACCCTCACCTGGCCCTAGAGGCCCCCCCTCCCCCAGGGAGCTGGCCTGAGGAGAGATGGGGAGGTTAGCGCTCTCGCTTTCGCTTGGGCCACTGTGTCCTTTGCCTTGCTGAAGGGGGGCGTGGGGTGGGGGGGTGGGTTGGGCTCATCCAGTCTCCTTATTATGTAGATGAGAACCAGAGAGCAGAGATGTGGTCAGTCCGGGGTGGGCATGTTTGGATTAGGGTGCCTGGTCCTCATCCCAGGGCTTTGGGACTGGGGCCTGCCCCATCATTCTCCTGCTGCCCATTTTCCCACCAAGCCCCTGACCACCCCTTGCTGATGCCTGAGGGTACCCTGTGCTTCCTCATGCTGATGCCCAGTTGCCGTTGGAGCCAGGCAGGGCTGACACTGGAGTCCCTGGGCCTTGGCCAGCAGCCACCCATGCTAGTGGTGGGCACACGGACCACATGTGGCAGGGTCTCTGCTCCTCCAGGCTTGCGGAGGCTGGAGTGGTGCCCAGTCCACCTCCCTGCTGAAGTCCAGGAGACCGTGCGGCTTGAGACCCCCCTTCCACACCAGCATCTGGGCCAGTCAGGGGTAGGTGGGAACTCCAGCTGGACCTTCTTGCCTGCGGGTGAGGACTGGAGCTGCCCCCTGCTGGGCCTCCTGGGTTCTGCTAGCCGGCTGTCAGCACTTGTGCGCACACGTGACTCTGAGTGTGGGGGTGTCAGGCCTCCACGCTCAACATCCATTTCCGAGTCTGAATCAGGCTCTCTCTGGCCCCCTCCCCCCCATCTCTTTGGTCTCCCTTTTCTCTTCTCCCACCGCCTCTGCACACGTCCCTTTAGAAATAAAAACACTTATTTTGTAGGCGGGAGAGGAGGGTGTCCAGCTTTTCCCTGCCTCCTCTTGAGTGTCCCTCTCTGTCCCAAGCCGTTTTCTTCTCAGGTCCTTGCAGCCCGGGGGGCCGGGAGATGACACCCCCCTTCCCTCCCCCACCATGACTCTTCTCCGACCAGACTTGGCAAGATTCCGTGACCAGATGGGGAAACTGAGGCAGGAAGGGAGAAGGGAGGCAGTGCCGGGAGCAGCTCTCCCACCCGGCTCTCTCACCGCCCCCGCACCCGCGCCCGATTTAGCCGCAGGGAGGCTGGGAACATTGTCTTTATTTTAAGCCGCCGAGTGCCGCACGAACGCCTGCTGGCGACAAAGGGCTTCGCGCAGCAGCGGCAGGCGGCGCACGTGGGGGTCCGGCCCCGCCCACGCAACACCCCCCGCGACCCAGCCGCCGCAGCGCGGGACCTCTGTCCCCTCTTCTCTCTGGCCCGATGGGACCCGCGGCGCCGGGTCTTGCAGGCTGCTAATTTGGGCTCTGGGTGGGGGATTTACTCCTCCAGGCAGGCCACCGAGGGAGCCCGGAGTGGCCCTTCCAGGCTGACCTGCGGGCACCCTCGCCGTGGGGCAGGAGCGTCGCTGCCCTGGGCGTGAATCCTGCGCAGCCTCTCCGCAGGGAGCCACCCTGGGCAGCTGGCAGTCCTTCGTGGTCTCCATTTCTTCCTCAAGCCTTGAGAGTTAGAACGACCCTCTGACAGGCCTGTTTGACGATTAGCTGCAGGTTAGACGTGCCCGGCGCTTGCCCGCAGTAAAAGCCTTCACTGTGGTTCTTCATGACTCCCGCTGAGCACTGACAGTACGTGCTGGGGTCTCGTTCCTTAACTGGTTTTCACAGCCACCCCGCGGGAAGTTCCACTCTTCCCATTTCACAGAGGAGTAGATTTACAAGCCCAGCACCCAGAGGCTTCCGCGGGTGTGGTCACTGAGCCTGGGCTCATCTTGTGGCAAAGGGAACGGGAAGGGAGTGTGTGGGCTGCAGAGGCTGCTGGCACCTGTGTGGCAGGATTTTTTTTTAAAGGTGGGGACTTTTGGTTGGAGGTGGTTGGGGGCAGGGCGTGAGCCCCAATGCTGTGAGCTCCGAAGCCCCTCCCACCTTTCACGGCTGTGACAAGTTCAGACCCACACAAGGCTTGCCACATGCCAGTGCTGCTTCTGTGTCATGGCAGGGCACAGGTGTGGGTGGTCCTCCTCTCCCCACCAGGCCTAGGGGACCAGCTGGCTGCTCAGTGCTCTCCAGAAGCAGAAGGGGGTGGGGTCTCACTCGCTGGGAGGTGACTTCCGTTGGGAGCCCAGGGGACAGAGCAGCACTTCTCCTTGTCCCCTCTGCTTTGGGCTCCCAGCCTCCCGGCTTCCCTTAGTGCCGCAGCTGGGGGATTTGGGAGGGGCTGATTCCCAACTTTAAATGCAGAAACCAAATCCAGGGCAGGCCTAAGAAAGGGTCTGGGACTTGTCCCAGCGGGGCGAAAGTGACCACAACGAAGGCATCATCTGGGACAGGAAATCGGGTTTGAGTCCAGTTCTGAAGCTTGGGCCAGTAGCCATAATCCCACTCCACGCACTGTGGACTTCATCTCTGGTTGCCCCTCCACCCCCAAGCCTGATGGGCAGCTCCCCAAGAACTAGTGGGTTGGGGTGGTCAGAGCCCAGCTCCTGGCAGGCCCGGACCTGGGCGGAGTGCTCCCTGGTCCTCGTCGCTGCTCAGTTGTGTTAACAGGATGCTGGGTTTGGGCTGGGAACCTAGACAATGCCTCTGAGATGCCTCTCAGATTCTTGGTGGCCCATGACAGCGGTAAGTTAGGCTCTTCAGCTGTCTTCCATCCTGCTAGTGAGGACTGTGGAGGGCAGGTCACTTGGTAGACGCTTTGTGGGTGTGCCAGGTGGCGGGCAGGAGCACTTTGCCCTGTGGTACAGACACGGTGTTTCCTGCTTACATCTCTATGGCTAGAAACTGCTTGAAATAATCTTTGCTTCGTCTCATTAGTGGACATCAGGTCCACTCAAGTCTCCTGCCACTTGATAAGTGCGTCCTCGCCCAGCACTAGGCTGGACTAGGAGAGCTGGAGAAAAGTGGGGTAGCTTTGGGCAGGAACTTGGGGTCCGAGCCCAGATCTGCCTCCAACTCTACACAGCTGGGTCCCCGGCCCCCAGACACCTACCAGGGTGAGACAGGACTGGTTTCAGGGTCCCCTGCACCCACAGGGCTAAATTTGCTTCCTTTCCTCATAAAACTCACTAGTCCTCACCAGTCAAGGGAAGGGGGAGATAAAAGTTCAAGGGCCCCCAAGGCGAGAAGTGGAGCTGGGTGAATGGAGCTTCAACTCCAGGTTCTCCTACCCACTTCTCAGCCAGACTTGGGCAGGTGCCATGAGTCAGTGTGCTGGGCTTGCCCCTTGCCTTCCCTAGCTGCGGTGGAGAGCCTCCTAACCCAGCCTGGGTGCTTACTGCCAGCTCGCCCGGCGGTATCCACGGCCCCCTGCTCCCGCCCGCCCCCTAGCGGCCAGCCCAGCTCCGTGCCCGGGGAGGCGTAGGGAGGGGCTGGGTGCCTGGTGCCCAGGGCCGTTTCCCAGGTAGGAGAGGAGCAGGAGCGCCCGCTCCTGTGTGCCCTCAGTGCAGCCCTCTCGTTGGCAGGGGTTGGTAAAGGATAGTGTAGATCCAACTGAGAATGTGACCGGAGATGCGGAGATGGCTGCCCTCCTGGAGGGCTTCCTGCCTCCCACTGCTTTCAAAAGCGATTTTTGTGCTTTTTTTCATTCATCCCAGTAACAGTCCGTGTGTGTGTGTGTGTGTATGGGGGAATTTTAGGGGGGGCCATTGTTACGCTCCATTTTCAGAACGAACCGAGGTGCAGGTTATCTGGCCTCTCCTCTCCTTTACAGTAGTGGTTAGGGCCCCAGCTTGGGGATCTCTGGGACATGTTTGTAAGAGGGAGGGTCTGTCCTGAACTCACTGAGACGGTCCCCGGATCTTCCTGCTGCCGTCACATGGACGCAACAACTACATTTGGGCACTGTTCTTGATATTTTATGTTTTTAACTGTTTTATTTGTAGTAGCTTGGCAAAGGAGGTAGAATTCTTACCCACATTTTCTAGATGAGGAAACTGAGGTACAGAGCGGTTCCACGGTCGGTCCCAGGTTGCACAGCCATGCATAGTCCGTGCCAGAG